CTTATTACAGTGTTGATCCTAAACGACATTCCTCATACGATTTATAGAAATGTATCTCTCTTCAGCAAATCTCTGCTCACAATATTGATCTGCATAAGGACTAAGATTATCATAAATAGAAACACTATTTTTGATTGAAGACGTTATCTCCACAAAATCAACAATTTTAACCTGGTACAGTAAGAATTAGAAGAAGTTAAAATATTATCCTTCCCTAATTACTTGGTGCCAAATACAGGATTGTTAATTTTGTAATGACAATTATATTACAGATATCAATAGCTTTTACGGATAGATATTACTAAGATAGAACATATATTGAAGATTATTTTAATAAAATAGCATTGCATATATTTTTATTATGGGTGAACAGAAACTGCCAAGGCATAGATTTCTCTTTATTTACAGCAGAAAGTAATTTCCAAGATAAAAACCAACTTGCTCTTTTTAGCATTATATTATGTATCACTGAATTTATATATATAAATACTTCAGGTTATTAATCCACTTTGATGTTACTAAACCTTTAAGGAGAAATAGGAACAAGTACAATATTGCTTGTTTTAAAGATAGAACAGACAGGATGATAATGCATAATATCACAAAATTGCCCCAATAAAATTCTTGCCAAGAAATATTTCCATATATACTGGGTATTCTGAATATATGCTTGCTTTCATTTGCTTATCTTATCTAAATTTTACTTATAACAATCTGAGATTGTTACTTTCTATTTGTTTAGGAAAATAAACTGTCCTATGGAGGTTAAGTGACTTTCAGAAATTCCAACAACTTGTCAACAAAAGAGTTAACATTATAATACCATTCTTCTGTCTTCTATTCTAAGGTGTATTCCATGTCTATTGCAAATTGAAAAGAATAAAATTAATTCACCATAAGAATGTATCAGCTATTTCTGTGATAAACAAAGCCTATATTTCCATTGTCTTCTCTAAGAAAAATATTTCTGTGCAGTGTGACAAATTTTGTCTTTTCTGGCTACCTGATTTCCTGGATTACTTTGTTGGAATGGATCCTAAGAACACAGTTCATTGCCATGATTCAGAGTAAATATTTGGATATAGATGCTGCTCCCTGGATTTGTTTCAGGGCTACAGTTTGGCAGTCTCAGCTCTCCCTTTGACTGATAACAAATCAAGATGGCTACTACAGTAAGCTTTACTCCTAAACTCAGGGAAGAGAACGAAAAAATAAATCTGTGAACTCATAGCTTTATGTTATTATTTATATTTACTCCTAACTAATAAATACCATAGTTCAACAAGATTGATCTTATCTCCAGCAGCACTTCTGCACACAAATCATGGAGTACTGGTCATGTGCTGCTTACAAAGCCTTTCTTTTATGAGTGTCTTTTATCTTTTCAGTTAGGATCTGAGCTTTCTGATACCAGAGATATATTTTATGCCCTTTGCTATTCATAGTGCACTAAGTCAAAGCCTTTATAAAGTAGATTCTGGAATAATTTTTTAATTTCCTTTTTGATTATTTAATTTATTGTGTTTGACTCCACTTAATATTTGAAAATGTTACAACTTTAGAAACATTGTTATTTTCTTTTTAATTTTGTATATCCAGATAAAATTATTTAAATAATATTCCCTATTTTCCTGATAATTATCTGCATCTCATTTAATTTCAGTAATTTTTTATTCCTAATTTTCTTAATGTTAATAATAAATCCTCAATTTAACATTATTTTTCTTTACTAGTATTTTAGTCGTGTAACAGTTCATCAAATTCTGTTAGAAATGAATTCTGTTCATTTATAAAAAGTTTTATATGTATCTTCAGAGATCAAATTTTAATTAAATCACTACATTCTTTAAAAAAATGCATCTTAGTGCACACTTTCATATATTGTAATTATACATTTTCAAACCAGTATTTGTATTTTCTGTTATTAAATGGATTCATGTTTATTTATAAATCGTTTCTTACAATTATATTTTGGGCATGTCTTTGGAGAAATTACATCTTGTAGAATATATTGTTATAAAAGGGCCTCTCAGGGTTTCTCTTCCTTCTTCTATTTTACAAAATAATGTAATATTTCATTTAACATACCAAAAAGTCCAGTGATACTTTTTGAGTATCCACAAATAATGTCATGAAGATATTCTGTTTTTGTCCACAGAAGGCTTTTACTTTTAGCTCTTATGTTAGGTCTATTATTCATATTCTATTAATTTTCAAAGGTGGTATAGAAGTCAAGGGTTCATATATATAAATATATATGAATATGTATATATGTGTGTGTGTATATATGTATATAGTTGTTTAAACACTATTTGTTGTAAATAATTTTTGTTTCCCAATTGACTTGCTTTGGCTACTGGATCAAAATCATTTGAGGCTTTTATCGGGAATTGTTTTTAACTTTTTATTCTGTGCGATACCATTTATGGTCTTTTGTTTCACCAATATCACAATATCCTGATTTTTATATATTTTATTAATAATTGATCTTGAAGTGAATTAGAGTAAGTTCTCTAAGTCTGTCCTTTTTTCACAATTATTTTGTTGTTTTTCTATATAAATTTTTAGAACAGTGAGTTAATTTATTTGTAAATTTTTGCTAGGATACTGAGATTGCATTAAATCTATATATCAATTTGGGGTTAATTAAGATATTCATAAATGAAGTACTTTAATCCCCCACGTGGTATACCTTTTTATTTCATTACTTATTTCCCACCCAGCAGGAAGCTCTGGGCATGCCACCATCCCCAAGTGCCAGACGTCTCTTGCGGGGTCCTTGCTATGGGACTCAGTGATAGGCAGATCAAGATTTGGGAGGTGCAGATGGGGCTCCTGCTTTTGAATCTTTCCAGCCATGAAGATGTTGTGACAGATCTGAGCTTTACACCCAGTGGCGGTTTGATTTTGGTCTGTGTCATGCGGTAAGACTCTTCGCATCTGGGACCTGAAGAACCATGATATGGAGGTGAAGGAACTACTTGGTAATTCCAAAAATACTGTATTTGCTCCTTTCTCCACTTTACCAGTGTCATTTTTACCTTAATAAAAAGGACTTTGTTCACTTCTCTTTTATACCTAAAATACTCTTAGAGTGTAATCAACAAGCTTTTGGAGAAGAAGTCTTACATATTTTTCATTAAATTTACCATAAAGTATTTTATGTTTTTAAATGTTAGTGTAAATTGTTCTTTTAAAAATTTTATTTTCTAATTGGTCATTGCTAATGCATAGAAATTCAAGTGATTTTTTGATATTAACTTAGTGTCTTAATTCAGTAGTGCTGCTATAACAAAACACCATAAACAGGATACCTTATAAACAAAAGAGATTTATATCTCACAGTTCTTGTGGCTGGCCAATCCCATGATCAAGGTGCCAGCAGAGTCAATGTCTGTTTAAGGCTATTTTCTGCCTCAAAGAGGACACCTTCTAGCCATGTTCTCACATGGCCGAAGGGAAAAGGCGGCACTCAGGCTGTTCTTTCATAAGGGCACTAATGCAATTCATGAGGGCTCTGCTATAATGCGCTAATTATTTCTCAAAGGCCCTACCTCCTAAAACCATTGCACTGTTGATTAGGATTCAACATGTGAATATAAAGGGAATGCAAATGTTCAGACCATAGCACTTAGTGACCTGAATTTTTGTGAAATTCATTTACTGCCCCTAGTAGATATTTTTATATATTTCCTTAATTTTATTTTCCAATATTTAATTGATAGTATTAAAAGATAGAATTAACTTTTGGGTATTAACATTGTGTTCTGCAACATTGGTATATTTACTTTTAGTTCTATATGTATTCTTTGGTAGATTCCTTAGAGTTTTCTACACACAAAAAAGGTCATAGGAGAAAGTTTATTTTTGTCTTTGTAATCTCTATATCTATTTATTTTCCTTAACTTATTATATATACTAGCTAGTGTCTCCTCATATCTTAAACGAAAATGTGAGAGGAAAATCATTTGCTATGTTTTTAATTTCGGGGGGAAATGCACTATTTCATATTCAGTGTGATATTAGCTACAGAAATTTTAAATAACTTCATTCATTAAAGATATATCCTTCTGTTTCTAGTTTGATGAGATACTTTTTCTTCAGTGGATATTAAATTTAATCATATTTTTAATATTCTGAAGGGACCACATAATATTTTTTCTTTTTTCTATTAATGGGTTACACTAAATAATTTTTGTATATTTTTGTATCTTAAATGAATCTTATATTATTGGGATAAGCCATATTTTCTTGTAATATGTTCTATATGTAGCATTCAATTTGCTAATATTTTTAAAAGAAAAATGTACCTCTTATTCATGAGAGGTATTTGTCTGTAATACTTCTCTGAGTATCCTTGTCTAGTTTTGGAATCAAAGATGTACTTGCTTAATAAAATAAGTTTGAAATACTTACTTTTATTCTATTTTCTAATATAATTAGTATATTATCATTTAGTGAATTAGAATTCACTAGTGAAACAAAACAGTCCTAGAGTTATCTTTGCAAGAAGATTCCACCATTAAAATTTTAATTTTTTAAATATAAATACTATTGAGATTTTCTATATCTTGTGCCAATTATGTCTTTCAAAAAATTGTTCTACTCCATTCACATTGTCAAACTTATTCACACCGAGTTATTTTTGCATTTTCTTGGTAATGTAATACTGAAAAATGGCATCCATAATTGCATTTCTTATTTTGGTAATTTGTAACTTCTCTCTTGCCAGAGGATTACAAATTTTACTAGTCTTTTCTAGTGTTGCCTTTTTACTTTGTTGACATTCTCTACTTTTTGTCCATTTTATTATTTTTTTTACTTTATTAAAATATTGAATTTTATTTCACATGTATATTTTTGTCTCCCCACCATTTCCATGTCTGACTACCACTACTACTATGTCCTAATCATAACATTCCAAACATACTTAAAACCAAGCAAAGGGTGGAGTTCCATCTTTAAAAACTAAACAGGCATTTTGGACAACACATTCTTGGCAATAGAACCTGGACAACATTTATCAAACACGGTAGGGAAAGTTCTCACTCTGCATCATAAAAAGGACAGCCAGATATCAACTGTTACAGAAATGAAATAAGACAGAAAATTTTTAACAAATTGTTTAAACTATTTTCTTAAAGAGACTTCCTCCACTGCCAGAGATCTTGAATAGCCTCTTGGTTAGTCATCCAGAAGCAACTTTTCACATAACTAATGAACTTGGCTTCCACGTTGGGAAGAGAACCGCCTTTTTCTATACTTGCTTGCATTTTTGCTTTAATATCTTCTACAGAACTAGGTCCTTTTGGTGTTTTCGGAGTTTTTTCCTAATTTTTTGAAGGACTCTTGTCCTTTTGATCTTGGTGTTGATGATGGTTTTGAGTCTTGTCCATTGTGATTTGACTTTTGTGCATTTTTAACTGGAGTATCTCGTATAGATTTCTTCACTGGTGCTTTTTCTTCAGCTTCCTTATCATCAAAATCATGATCGTCTTCATCATGATCATCATCATCATCATCTTCATCAGCAGCAAGTTTTACTTTTTTCTGTGGAACTTTGCTACCACCTCCAGGGGCAGACCGCTTTCCAGATATACTTAAGAGTTTCCCATCCTCCTCCTCTTCATCTTCTGACCCTGCATCTTCCTCCACAGCAGCTAAGTGTTGTCCACTAATATGCACTGGCCCTGAAGCACACTTCAACTTTAAGACCACTGGTGGTCTTACTTCACAGCCCCCTAGGGAAACCGTTGACTGTACAGACCTTTTCAAAGTTGCCGGTATAATGACTTCCACTCTTATCTTTAGTTTCTTCTTTTTTCTAACTTCAAAAGTTTGAGGCATACATTGTAAATTGTATGTATTTTTGATTTGTAAACGTTGTTACTAAATTACCTTGTAGTATACACTTGAGCTTCATCTCACACATTTTGAAAATTCACATTATTACTATTCTTTATTTCTAAGTATTTCCTAATATTGATTTCTTTTTTTTTTTTTTTTTTGACTCATGGTCATTTAGAGTATGCTGAGTAATTTTCACATATTTGCTGTTTGTCAAAATTATCTTTCTGTTATCGATTTATATTTTAATTTCCACATGGTCAGAGAACATACTTTGTTGATTTCTGTTCTTTAAAACTTATGTTAACATATTTTGCTATATTTATGTCTATGTGCTTCAATTTTTGTGCTATTATAATTAGTATTTTTTAAGTTTAAAATAATTTTTTATATTCAGCAATGAAAAGAAGAGAGAATTAGAACATCCCATAATGTTAAGATGTTAATTTTTCCCAATTTCATCTATTAATTTAATAGAATCTCGATAGAAATCCCAGCAAGTGGAGGGCTGAGGCGGGTGGATCATGAAGTCAGGAGTTCCAGATCAGCCTGGCCAACACAGTGAAACCCCATCTCTACTAAAAATACAAAAATCAGCTGGGCGTGGTGGCAGGCGCCTATAATCCCAGCTATTCAGGAGGCTGAGGCAGGAGAATCGCTTGAACCCAGGAGGCAGAGGTTGCAGTGAGCCGAGATCGCGCCACTGCACTCCAGCATGGGTG